TGCATTTTGGAAAACAATTTCACCACAAAGGTTTATACACAATTTGGATCTGGTTACCAAAATGTACTCTCTACATTAAAGATTTATGTGCTCTTACACATGGCTAATGTTTGCATTGGAAACTCAGCAGGTTATCTAAGACTGTTAGCAACCTCTAATTTAAGGCTAAGCAAAGTCATCTGTCATTGAAAATAAGTGTTCCGTGAAAGAGAGACATATGACAGGTAAATTTGGATTGGGGAGAGACTACACCAATTGTAGCAAGCAATCAGTGGGAAAGACATGCCCCACATCCATCGGAAAAATGATTATAACATTTATTTGTATTAAGGATGATAGAAAATAAGTATAATATGTGCATTTCACTGAACGTAAGGGGAGCAAATACATACCTACAACTCTTAAAGCTGATATATGCTCATAAGCTTTCATACAATCGTGACCACAACTCAGTTGCTGATACTTAGCACTTGCAATAGATTTATACAAACTAGAGAACAGGAGATCAACAACATATGTTTCAAGACAATCTTTTGAACTTCAAATATGTGTACATATAGAAAAGAGTACAAAAATACATGTATAAAATTGCAGGTAGTCTCTATGTGGAATGCTGAGGCAGTCCAGGTGCTGGTGGAAGTTGGTAGGGATTCCTGCTTGTTTAAAAGGCATCTGGATGTTCCAAATGAATGTCTGACTGATTAAATTAGGTCGATGTGAAGATTTGTGTTTTGAAGCTTTTTAGTGGAGAAAAATACTTTAACCAATAATTGGTTCAGAAATTGATGTGCGTAAAGTGGACTAGTGCTTAAAAGCATTTTTGTAAATTGTGTTTTAATTATCAGTGAGAAGAAATGGTAACACCAGAAGTTAAACATCTTTTGAAGAAAACTGCAAAATGTTTTATTCCATGCAAACTTTTAGTGTACTTTCAGACACATTTCTGTGACTGTTAGTGTATGTAGATGAACAAAGGAAAACTGGGAAATACTAAATGGGGTGGAGAGTGCAATTAATTTTTTTTTAAATTGTATCTGTTTAGTCTAGAGCAAGTTCATCTCCCTTGGCAAAGTTTATTCTCTATTCCGTTGTCAATGGTGGTGGCGTGTGTCATCCAGTCCATTCCGACTCATAACTACCCTGCAGGTCAGAGTAGAACTGCCCCACAGGGTTTCCTAGGCTGTTATCTTTATGGGAGTAGTTCGGCAGGTCTTTTCTTCCACAGGGCCACTAGTGAATTCAAAGCACTGGCTTTCAGTTAGTAGCATTGCCGCTTAATCATCATGCCACCAGAGCTCTTCCATTGCCATGTAGGCAGCACAAAATATTTTCCAGGAATATTGACCAGTCAATATACACTGAACAAACTCCAGCTATAGGGAAAGTTCTATGCATACGTTTCTATAAATTAATGACATTATCACCTTAATTTAAATCCAGAATGGAAAGTTCTATAGTGCCAAGTGCTAATACTAAAGTTTAAAGAGCTTTGTGGGAGCTCGGGTAGCATAGTGGCTAAGACATTTGACTGCTAACCAGAAGGCTGGTGGTTCAAACCTACCAGCTACTCCTTGGAAGGAAGATGTGTCAATCTACTTCCATAGTGATACTGCCTTGGAAACCCAAGGAGAGGTTGCTGTGAGTCGGGTCGGACTCCATGGCACATAACAACAACAACGAGCTTTGTGCTCAGTGTATCTCCCTATTTCAGCTACCTAGTTGGATACTATTGGTCTTTTACCTCTGACTGATTTTTATAAATTTTCAGAATTATGCAAAAGTTAGAAGAATAATAGTAAATAATTTAAGCATGTATAAACCTTAATTTTTAATAAATCAAACACAAGTTGCCAATGTTAATATTGAAATTTGCTACTATGCTGTTGTGTTTGAGAAACAGAAGCTGACAGATGAGTCAGCCTGGATCTCAACATCCTTTTTTAGGGTATGAAGAACCTTTCTATGACCTGTTATCCTGGTGCTTGAATTATTTTAAACCTCTCTACATTTGGAAATTCCATGCTACAGTATTTTACCAAACTTGAAATAAGAGAAAAATAAAGTTTCGGAGAAGTTGAATAAAATTAGACCAGAATAAACGTGAAAATTTGGAGTGCATTTTCAAGCATTCCCATCCCTGAAAAGTTCTCTGTAACAGCTCTCTGTAGGAAGATCTCCACAGTCAACAAGGCCATTCTCTTTGAGTGTAGCTGGACAAGTCTCTGATCATCTTTGGAATTAGTTTAGGAGAAAGGTGTGGATGTATATTTGTCTTTCAATCCATTTGATGAAGTATGACACATTGCTATAAACTCCAGGCCCCAGGACTTTGGAAAAGCAGACAGAGCCCCATGAAGTTAAACCAAATAATGTCCACTGTCCTCCAGGCTGCTCACAAACAAGAGGCCCACCGCTGTCACCCTGTAATGAATAGCAATGGGCGTTAGTCACTGTTATTCCGGAGCTTGCCATACTATCCTAAGGGTACAATAATGCCAAACCCAAATAAACCACTTCTTGGAAAATTTCAACAAATCCTTCATTAACTATGTCAGGATATGAAGGGACCATGCTGTTTACTGTATAAATGGAACTTTCAAGTGAACAGTTAAAACTCTGATCTTTAGAAGGATGAGGGTGAATTGAGGGAGCGATTATATTCTTTTGAAATCAGAAGACATTTTTAAGTCATTTCCTACACTTATCAAATTATGCCATAAAATTTTGCAAAATGCTTAATGCATCAGATTTGATTACCAAACAATTGACCTCATTCTTTAAGTTTGATTCATCTTATAAATGTAGAAAACACCAAAAAGAAAACATTGAAAGGTTTTTCTCCCCACTATTAGCCAAATGTTTTATATTAAACTCTCTACTTTCAACATTTTTTGCTATGTGAGTAAATTACATATGACAAGCATTGGTGGTTCAGTGGTAGAATTCTCACCGTTTATGTGAGAGATCCAGGTTCCATTACCAGCCAGTGCGCCTCATGCTCAGACACCACTTGTCTGTAAGTGGTGGCTTGAGTATGATACTGAACAAGTTTCAGCTAAACTTCTGGACTAAGAAGGACTAGAGAGAAAAGCCTGGCAATGTATTCCTGAAAATCAGCCAGTGAAATCCTTATAGACCATCACAGTCCAATCCACAACCAATTATGGAGGTGGCACAGGACCAGGTAGTGTTTTATTCCATTGTGCATAGGGTCACCCTAAATTGTGCTAATCAAAAGCTAGTGGTTCAAATCCTTGAGTAGGGGGCTGGCTTATGGCAGCTAACAACAACAACATTCTATTTCTTATTAGTTCTTAGTCTACTTGAATAGAAATAACATTTAAGAATTATTTATAATAAGGTGTTATATTTATTTATAGTCTACATTTTATTTCATATAGAGAGAGACTTTCATTCATGATATTTAAGTTTTACAATTGACTTTTCTTCAGTTCTTTCCCTCAAGATATAGTCAGCAAGAAGACACTATGATATCACAAACATTAATATTTAACCATGTTTGTAAAGATCAGAGTAGGTTAACCAAACCAAACTCTTTTAGAGTTGATTCTGCCTCATAGCGACCATATAGGACAGAATAGAACTGCCCTGTAAGGTTTCCAAGCTCTGGTAGCATAGTGCCTAAGGCACTTGACTGCTAACCAGAGGGCTGGTGGTCCAAACCCACCAGCCACTCCTCAGAAGGAAGGTTGGGCAATCTACTTCCGTAGTGATACTGCCTCAGC